GAATGATGATAATATTAATAGTATATAATATATAGTAAATAATATTAACATAAATTGCTGCAATCTACTGGCAACAATAATAAAGTTAATTGAATACCAAATACTAATAATTACACAATAATGATGATAAAAATTGATTGAGAAAACTGCAACTTATATAATACTAATTGAGTTTTAAACCATGAAAAATAATGAAGCAATCAAATCTTGATATGTACATTAATATATATTTAATTAATATCATATGAATCGAGAAGCAATTAAATGCTAAAATTTAACCACAATTAACAAAGACACTCAATATATAATATAAATACAATTTGTTCATCCTTTTTTCTTGTCCCCGAATATAAATTGTACAGAAATCAGATTGTCTCTCTCACCTTTCATCATTAACATGATCATTATCATGATTATTATTGTGATTATGATTAACATTAGAATTGTAATAATCTTGAAAATGAAACTGTCTTGATTGAGACAATACAGAAAATGTTAATCATAACAATAATAATAACAGATTATTAATGATGATGATACAAAGAGATAGTAAAATTAAGGGCTAAGCAAACGTAAATGAATATGAATGATTATTGCTATTATATTATTACTATTTACTATTATCATTATGATTATTGAGTTTGGTTATTAGTCATATAAATGTGAAGAAGACAAATAAATCAATGCAATCTTACCTTTCTTTTCATCTTAATCTTGATGATTCTCGGTGATGATAATGTAAAAAACTACAAGACTAACAAATCATGATCCATATTCATCTTCATCATTTAACTAATCATGGCAATTATCCCCTTCATCGTCATTATTATCATCTTTATATCATCATGAATCTTTTATCTCTTCTCTCTCTCTCTCTCTCTCTCTCTCTGTTTATCATCTTTGATCCTTTTTGTTTTATTTGTTGAATATCATCATGATCATGATTCATTTGAATATATAATCATTTGTTAATTTATTATCTTCATTTAATGATAATTGTTCATCTAATTGTCATTTAATTGCTTCTTTCTTTTCATCTCTCTCTCTCTCTCTCTGAATGTGTATTTTTTTTCCTAACTCATTCTAATTAATTATGTGTAGAAACATGGATATTGCTAATATCGACATTTCCATCATTCATCATCTTCATCATCTTGTCACCTTTTTCTCTCTCTCTCTTTTTCTTGATCATCAAACCTTTTCATCTGATGGTCAATCGATTGTCCATCAACAACAAACCTTTACTCTTTGAAATGTCAACTCAATGTCAAATTTCAAACTCATAACTTTTTGTTTCATTTCTTTTTGGATAAAATCAATTAGAAAATCAACAAAAGTACAACTGTCAACACTAATTGTCAAGTGAAAAATAAAACAATTCTGATTGATATTTTGTCAGAATTCAAATCATCATAATCACGTTTCTTAATCACTAATTTCTCCCACCAATTGTAACATAAATTTCGCGTCTTTTTCCCTTACAATCATCGGAAAATCAATTTAAAAATTAAAAAATTAATTCCAACATGAAAATATCAGTCAAGTTAATCATCGTCATCATCATAAGTATCACAACAACAATCTTATCAAATAGTTTGCAACTTGTTCCGTAAACACAATAATTAATGTTTTCATGTTAATCAAATCCGATTAATAATCGACATGATTGAATAATGATTAACTGATCATATTGATATTATTAATGATGATAATGTCTTATCATCCAGTCAAACATGAAAAACATATTCTCACTTTGATTTTTTTCTCTGTGGATCTCGAACAGCAAAAAAAAAAGTTCTAATGTTTTTTTCCAACTCTCGAACACCTTACACAATGAATCTGAGCATTATCATGCTCTTTCACAAGGTAATAATCTATGGTATTAATAAGATGATGCTTATGATGATAATGATGATAAATATAGAGGTAAATTATGCTTATTACTTACTAACAACTCGCAACCAAATACAACAAATATAAATAAACAAAATGTGACTCAGGTAAGAAAACATTAACTTATAACCTCCATTACTATTATTAGTGAATGTGATTAGTTAACTAACGATCAACATTATCATGATAATATCTTTATAATTGTCATATAAATTAATTAGCTTTCTATCCGTTTTTTATGTTTTCATCACATTTTAGATTTAAAAATTATACTAATCAGCTTTATGTACACACTGATGAATTGTTGCTCGATTGTATGATTTACCTAAATTTCATTGTTGAAATGATTGAAAATTATCAATCAAATGATTACTTTGAAAGGTTTAATTTTAATTAATGAACAATTTAAATTTTCAAACATTTGATTGAATTAATTTACATGAACAGCGCCATCTATTGTGTTTGATTGAAGTTTTTTGATTTAGTTTGTGATGTAAATCAATTAATTAGTTGATTAATTGTCTCTTTCTCTTCCTCTCTGGATTTTTTTTCTTGATTGTAATTGTTGAGTTGAAAGTGAAAATTATTTAATTGCTAACTATAAAAACTAATCACTTTTTTCTTTAATTAACTTTTTTTGTTTAATTGAATTTAGAAAACAAATTATCAAATTAACAGTAATTGATTGTCAATGTTTTTATTAACAATAAAGCTGAATAAACAATTGGTTGGGATTAAATTTTTCGTTGTTCCATTAATAAGTAATTAGAAATGAGAATTTGATAATTCACAATGAAAGGAGAAAAAAAATCAAATTAAATTAAATATTTACAAATGAAATTTAACTTAATATATAAAAAAAAAGCAAATTGATCATCACAATCATTAGTTAATTGTAAGTGAATATTCAAAGTCTAAATAATTAGTTAATTGTAAAGGAAAATTATTATTATGGTGAAATCAAAGTTATTGTCGATTAGTTTGATTGTGATGATCTTAATTGTTAATCAAGTGAGAGAATCAAATTGTTACAGTTTATCCCCATGGTCAACAATTGAAAGTGAATTACAATTAACTGGTGGGAGTCCAGCATTTGAAAATGAGACTGATGATGTGAATCCATCATCAAGTTCAGAGGAATCGGGTGAACATGAAGATATTGATGATAAACATGATGATAATTGTGACGACGATCATCATAATCATGAAGGTAAAAGTAAAAAATAATCAATTTAATTGGACTGATCGAAAGAGGGAAAAGAAAACAACAACAACTAATCAACTTTAATTTAGTTTAATTATGTTCTAATCTAATGTTTACCAACAAATTGTATTCCAAATAAACAACCAAATGTAATAAAGTCCGTTGATTGTTACATGTTTACAATTATTTATTTTTATCCTCTTTTTTATTATCATGATTAACTTTTTATTTGATGTTCGTAATCATCAATGGTTAATGTTTTCATATTCGTGACAAAATTTACTTTCCAATGATCATCGGGATTCTTGTAATTATAAAGACATTTTAATCAAGTATCTAGTGTTTTTCTTCTACGCCATCATCATGTTTATTATTCTTGATTGATTATTCAGTAAGAGATAAATTAAAATTGTTCGCTAGAGTTATTAATTACAACTGACTGGCTCATGGTCAGATTGATCGGGGGGAGGACGGAAAACGTTACTTGATTTTGGTCTTAAATTGTTGCTGAACCAAATTTGGTCATAAAATTTGGACCCATAAGTTGGATCAGTCATTAGTGACACCATTTGACTTTGTACCATTAAATAATATAACAAGGCTGACCGCTCTTCCGCCTCCGGTTTATAATATACATTAAAATCTCCACCGATGATTACACTATCCACCGCGCCGAAAAAAGTTCCCACAGAATCAATTCCACCAGATTTCAATCTTTCAATTGTTGCCCAAAGTGTAGCCAGAAACCAAAACTGGCCGCCTTCAAATTTTTCGGTTTTGTGGAGGTTAATTACTCCAATCCTGTGAAACTGTGCTCCTCGTATAGTTGTGTGGATATTAACCAGGATATCACCACGACCACAATTAAAAGTTTGAACAGGGCCCGTTTTTAATTCTTTGGAAATACAATTAGCGATGAGTAAAGTGAAGGGGAAGAATGGGATGTTACAAAGGTCCTGTAATTAATTATATCCTCTTGCATATTGTCCTGTTGTCCAAATGTTTGATTTATTGCAGAACAATCACTTGGAGACAATTCCTGAAAAAAGTTGATACAAAGGTTACTTTGGTGAAAGTTTTGGTAAACATATTCAAGTGAAGAGTAAAAAAGACGTTTTTTATAAAGATTAAAAGATAAAATAAATAAATCACTCATTTTGATTGGAATTTTTGAATTTAAAAAACGGAATTATTTTGATAGCAGAATAGCTTTTTTATTGAGCGCGCTCATTTTAAACATCGTATTGAGCACAACAACAACAAACAGGAAGCCCGTACTTTTCAATTAATTTATCAATTATTTCATCTCTTTCTTTTTTATTTGTGGCGGTGATCAATTCTGGATTTTTAAGATATTTTTTCACTATTTCCGAATAACCAATGGCGAATGGATGATCTCGGCAATGATAACATGTCAAGCGATCGTCAACTGCATCTTGCGAAGGTGATGGAGGTGATGAGGCGAGATTCAAAGATGCACTGGCTTGAAGAGATGATGGTGAAGAAGAAGTAGAATTTGCTATTTTGACAGTTACATTTGCTTGAATAGATGATGAAGGAGAGTTATCCATGTAAATTGAATATCAAAAGAATTGACCAGCAAAAGAAAGAGATTGATGAAAATTCTCATCAAACAAGTGGCAAAGACAGAGAAAAAGAACAAACGTCAAAGTGCCGGTGACAAAAAGATAAGAATAGAATGTGAGTGAGAATAGAAACGGGAATCAATGCAAACACAAATTTATAAAATAGCGTGAGAAATTAACCGTCATAATTAATTAAATGGGAACAATTAATTAAGAAAAATCACTTTGAATTTGAATTTGAAACAGAAAATCGAGAGAAAAAAGTGCTGCCATCTCGTAGTCGAAGGAACAACTTTTTCGATTCTCTCTTTTCAATTGTCTCAATGCCTGCGCTTTTGGATAAGGTTAAGATTTCTCTCTCAAAAAATCAACAATTGGTTTAATTGACAAAATTGTTTGTGATTTATTTTTTATCAGTCATTATTTATTTAATTTTTTGTTCCATTCTCATCTCCTACCCAGTCTTTCACATGATATTTGTTTACTGTGCACGTTATTCTGCCAATATAAAGAATTGTTTAGATTGAAACATTTAAACATCAACAAAGTGTCTAACCCCACTATACGTGGGTTTTAAGTTCTCAAGCAAAATGGAGGGCTCAAACACCGACAATCACACAAACTTAAACAATAGCAAACAACCTGCCAGCGGTAGCACCGATATACAACCCACTTCCAGTAGTAAACAGTCAACTTCGACAGTGGCCTCAGGAACGGCTAAGAAAAATGCGCAAAAAGATTGGGATAATATAGTTAAAGAGCTTCTTGCGGAGGATGAAGAGGAAAAATCAGCAGATGATCTTTTTAAAGAAATTTATTCTCAGGGAACGGATGAAGTGAGAAGAGCGATGGTCAAGAGCTTTACCGAAAGCGGTGGAACCGTACTGAGTACCAATTGGAATGAAGTGGGCCGAGGACAAACAAGTGTCAAACCACCAAATGGCTGTGAATTTAAAAAGTGGACTTGAATTTTATTAAAAAATTGTCATTTAAATCGAAAATGTTTTATTTGTTTTATCTCACATCGGTTATAAGTATTAACTATTTTAAAAATGAATGAAGAGAGAGAGAGAGAGAGAGAGAGAGAGAGAGAGAGAGAGAGAGAGAGAGAGAGAGAGAGACAATTTAAATACTTTTGCTTGGTTTAAGAGGAACATCTTGGCATATCTACTTTCGCCGTTTTCAATTGGCATAGAGCTCGAGCGACAATTTTTCGAGCCTTAGGTGTTTGTAGATTACTGATAGAGAGTAAAAATTCATATGATAATGATCCAGGCATCATTTTAATTAGTCTCATGATTGCTTGAAAAGGCAAAAATTGTAGTATTTTGTGTGAATCCTGTTTACCACAAAGAATTAGTTGTTCCAAAAAAATGAGAGGGAATAATGTTCGCTGAGAGACGATGGAATCGGAAATGATGGTACTGAATAATCGAAGTAGATCTGCTATTGCTTTAGTCAAAGGTTCGTTTAAAATTCGAGGATCAACAGATTGTTGATTCATGGCATACAAAAATGGTGTGTCTTCAATTTGGATATTTAAAGATCCTGAGGTTTCAAAACGTCTCATCTTATTGGGTCGCTCATTATTGTGATTAATGTTGTTCATCTTATTGGGATCAATTTCCATGGGGACAAACTCCATGAAAACATCTCGCTGATAACCATGTCTCTTAAGACTGATTATTGAATCGGTGGAACGTCTTTCTTCAGATTCTGAGAGAGCAGCAAGAATCGTCATGACAGTTAACTTTGCCAAAGCTGATGCTTTGGGTTCGGTTAGAGCTTCTTGTTTGTTTTCATTTAAAATATAACCAACTAAACCATTGGCGAGTAAAGCGAGTGCACATTGTTCAATGTCCAGATGGAAAAGGCCATAAATTAATCCAACGGCTTTATTCAATTCGGTGGAATGGTCAAACTTGAGCAATAAACGGAGCAACGACTCGACAAACCAGTTTGGTCCACCAACACAAAAAACAGTGTCAACATTATAAACATCTCGCTGGTCAAGCCAGGATCGACTGTGAGCCGAGAGAAAAATATCTTCCAATAATTCCCAAAGAGCTTTATCCGATGTTAATCCATGAGGAATCGCCGATAAAGCGCCTTTACCTTTTGTTTGATTAGTTAGATGCAAATTCCAGAACATTTTCTTGATTATGTTAGACATTAACATTGACCTTTCTGTATAGTAAGTGTTGGTGGGTTCATTAGATGAAGCATTGCCTTCAACCGAACCGGTTGAACTGTTTCCACTTCCGCTACCACTTGCTCCTCCTCCTGTTGCATTGTTATTGTTATTATTATTATTGTTGTTAACAGTATTCCCGCTATTAGATAGATTGTTACTCGATGATCCTGATCCAGTTGTTTCTCGAAAAGATGACGGACTCATAAATTGTTGTATCATAGTCATTGGTTTTATCCTTTCATCATGAGGTAGGGTATTTATGTAGGATGATAACCAGGCAGAAATGACCACAGGAAGACAACACATTTTACTTTTTACATTGTCTAATATCGTTTTCACATTTTCTGTTGTGATGATCCCATGTTCCCAGGCTAAAAGTACTTCTTTGATCGCGGCGGGAGCATTGATGCAAACTTCATGCCATTTAACGAGACTAGTTTTCAATTCGAAATCGGGTGAAGCAAATTGTGAGAGTAGATTGTCTACCTTGATTGGATCACAATTAGAAAGAAGGACATCCGGAGAGCGATATTTACCTCCTTCTGGTAAGAATTGAGCGCACCAAGTTGCAAAGAAAGAATCATTTGTTTCAGAATTTTGAGTAATAAAATCACTTCCATAATTTTGGACAATATGACAAAGCATCAGAAAGGTGATATCGAATAGAAGTGCTCGAGTCTGCGATTGTTTACCACCTTCCCCATTGATCTGTTTGTTTGCTTCGTTGAATTCAATCAATTTAATGGTGAAACTTTTTAAATTTCCATTAGCAGCAGCAGCATTAAGAATAAGTTGAAGCATTTTACTTTTACCGACCATGTGATTGAGAACACCCAAAAGTCCATCCTGATTCTTTGAATAATCATGATCTAATGTTTTAAATATCGATTTTACCGTCGGTTCGGCTTTTAAGATGAGACTGGCACCTTGACCAACAGAATTTGAATTTTGACCAATCATTTTGTCTTTTAATTTATGAGAATCTTTATGTCGCCGGGTCATGATACGATTTTTCTGCTCAGCAGTTAAAATTCTGTGCTTCTGTGATGATGATGTTTCGATTGTGTCTTCGGCTGCACAAAGTTCTTTAGTAAATAAATCAAGACAATCACAATTAGATTTAGAATCTGTCAAGTCAAGTAAAGGTGTGAACATAAGAAGTTTATCCAAGCCCTTTTCAAGTTCAATACTGAGAGTCTTTTTGTCCATTTTGGGTGAATCAAGTTCCACAAATATGAGAGGAACTTTGAGAAATGTGAAAGCTCCCCACTTGAGATCTTCATCTAATTTAAGGTCGGAAGATGCTGAATCAACTAAACCAATGAAACATGAACGAACGATCTCAAGACAGACTTCAGCGTATGGAATATCATTGAATTTAGCAACAAGTGAGATCTGTCTGGCGAAAGCTTTAATTTCATTTGTCGGATATAGAATAGCGTTTATAGCGATGATTGCATTGCAACTTTGAGCGAAAAGACTTGAAGGTGATGAACAATGGATCATTGGACCTTTGGCCAATTCACGGGCAGCGAGAATTTCAGTCGCAACAATGGCTGGATCAAGATTATTCCATTCAGCAGTATTTAAAAATTTAACCATAATATCTGATAACTCTTTAGCATTGGTTAAAGTTGATGGGAGACATGATGATGGACCGGAAGATTGATTTAAAAGTAATTCAACCTTATTTGCTTTGGTGACGAGCTGAGAATAAATTGATTGATCTTCCATCTTTCCAACGTGAAAAAGGGATTTAATAAATGATGAAGTTGAGATGAATGATAAGACATCACAGGATTTTTCCACGATAGAAATGAATTCGTTGAGTTGTGAGTTTGTTCCTGCAATTGAAGCAGCTCCAGATGCACCTAGGGAACCACTTAAAGCGACATATGAACCATGATGACCAAGGTTACCAAATTGATTAGTGTTTTGATTAGAGGCACTTGATTTGAGCTCGGTTATTTTAATTAGTGCATGATGTAGACCCGAAAACAGCCAATGGGCCAAGGCTACAATAGCTTTACAAAGTGATATGCATTCCTCTTCATTCCCATAGCAATTTATCCTTTTCTTTAAATCATTGCATAAATCTGTTGTTTAAATAAAAAAGAGAAGATAAAAAATAACAAACAATTAATATTAGATTAAAATGCCGGTAAAATTGAACAGCAAACATATGATTAACTATCTTTTCCTCCAAAAGGATACAAATCTCGAGATTGGAATCGCTTGACAACCACTATCAGAGAGGGAGAGATATGTTTTCGAGTGGATGATAAATAGTAAGCATGTTAAATAGAAGGATAAATCTCACCTAATAAACATATGATGCATTGTGATTTACTGAATTCTTGATACTTGGAAATAGATGAAAGAACAGCTCCATAAGAAACAACATGTGAACTGATACAATGATTGAGATATGAGATAAACAATGGATTAGGAGCTGGTCCAATGAGTGCTTGAATCAGGATACAATTGGAAAGGTCATAAACATCACCGCTAACCCCACGAGGCAGAACTCGTTTAATGTTGACAGCCCAATCAATTGGGCTCCATCGTTGTCTCCAAGCTTCCAAGAGAAGGGATTTAATGTTACTGGTTTTGGAAGTAGAGACAAAATTTCCACCAATATCCATTGGAGGTAAAACAGGTCCACTAATCATGGAAAAGTTAAATTTCCACCAAGAAAGAGATATCAACAGAGAGAAAGAGAGAAAAGAAAAAAAAATTCAAAAAAATAATTGACCAGCAAAAGAAAGAGATTGATGAAAAATTCTCATCAAACAAGTGGCAAAGACAGAGAAAAAGAACAAACGTCAAAGTGCCGGTGAGACAAAAAGATAAGAATAGAATGTAAGTGAGAATCGAAATGTCAATCAATGTAAACACAAATGTATAAAATAGCGAGAGCAATTAACCGTCATAATTAATTAAACAATTAATCAACAAAAACCACTTTGAATTTGAAACACAAAAAAAATGAAAAAATCGATAGAAAAAAAGTGCTGCCATCTCGTAGTCGAAGGAACAACTTTTTCGATTCTCTCTTTTCAATTGTCTCAATGCCTGCGCTTTTGGCTTGGTTTTCTTGCTGGAGAAGGTTAAGAAAAAATTAACAATTGGTTTAATTGACAAAATTGTTTGTGATTTATTTTTTATCAGTCATTATTTATTTAATTTTTTGTTCCATTCTCATCTCCTACCCAGTCTTTCACATGATATTTGTTTACTGTGCACGTTATTCTGCCAATATAAAGAATTGTTTAGATTGAAACATTTAAACATCAACAAAGTGTCTAACCCCACTATACGTGGGTTTTAAGTTCTCAAGCAAAATGGAGGGCTCAAACACCAACAACCACACAAACTTAAATGAGATGTCGACAGCATCTTTAATAACCCTTGGTAATAATCATCATCTAAATGATTTGCCTCGAACACTTTATGTTGGTAACCTGGATCCACAGGTTAGTGATGAATTGATAGCAGCTTTATTTGGTTCGCTGGGTAAAGTGACCAATGTTAAGATAATCCATGAGCCGGGCAATGATCCATATTGTTTTGTTGAATTTGCGGAACATTCAGCTGCATCCAATGCCCTATTAACAATGAACAAAAGATTGTGTCTTGGTAAAGAATTGAAAGTCAATTGGGCAACTTCTCCAGGAGCCTCAGGACCTAAACAAGATACCAGTAAACATTATCACATTTTTGTTGGTGACTTAAGTCCGGAAATAGAGACACAACAATTGAGGGAGGCTTTTGCTCCTTTTGGTGAGATTTCAGATTGTCGAGTCGTCCGAGATCCTCAATCTCTTAAAAGTAAGGGATATGGATTTGTTTCATTTGTTAAAAAAACCGATGCCGAGACAGCCATTGCCACCATGAATGGACAATGGTTAGGATCACGAGCCATTCGAACCAATTGGGCAACTAGGAAACCACCTACCAGAGGTAGTACCGATATACAGCCAACTTCCAGCAGTAAACATTTATCATTCGACGAAGTTTACCAACAATCAAGTCCATCAAATTGTACCGTGTACTGTGGTGGTATTTTACAAGGTCTCAGTGATGAGCTAATTCAAAAGACTTTCTCACATTTTGGAATGATTCAAGAGATTCGCACCTTCAAGGAGAAAGGTTATGCTTTTATTAAATTTGCTACTAAAGAGGCAGCCGCTTCTGCAATCGTGGCAACCCATAATACCGAAATAGCTGGACAAGCAGTTAAATGTTCTTGGGGCAAAGAGACAGGAGATCCATCAAATCAGGTACCAACAGCTAATGCAGTTGCAGCACAATATACTTATCCTTTTCATCAGATGGGCTACTGGTACGCTCAAGGCTATCCACAAATGCAAGGATCTTTCAATCCAGCCGGTGCCGCTGCTGCAGCCTCAAATCTACAGCCCATTCAAACATACCCCTGTGGTCAATACTATAATGCTCCAACTGGTACCTCAGCGGCAGGTTTTAATGCTGCTGCTGCAGCGGCTGCCGCTGTTGGAATGCAAATGGCTTGGCAAGGAGCTGCAGCAGGAATGCCTGGAGGTGCTGGATCAGCTGCTTCTGCCGCCGGTGGACAACCGCATCACATTGCTGCCGCATCGCATCATCAAAATCCCCTAGGTCAAGGTATCCAACAACAGACAGCTGCTATGATCGGTACTCATTACCCTATGCAGCCTTATCCTAACTGAAAAATCAATCAACACCAACATCAACACCAACACCAACAACAACAACAACAGCAACAACAACAACAACACCATCAACAAAAATAATAACCAATTAACAAAAATGAGACAAATAATTGAATCCACTTGAGAATTAATTTGATTACAATTCCCACTAATCAACGTATTATAAAAAAAATGTTTAACTTAAAACATAAACTTTGATTACATTAAATTACATTTAATCATCATCATAATCATCATCCTCATGTAGTTTACCAACAATCAACAATTATTTGATTACACATTTAAGTTCAAATTGTAAACCAAATCAAATGGTATCTCGATTCAATTCCTCGCTCTCTCGCTCTCTCTCTCTCATTCTTTCTATCTCTCTCTCTCTCTCTCTCTCTCTCTCTTTCTAAACTAATATTCAGTTGAAATATTTTCCATCGAGTTGTTAACTTGATTAATTGTAAACAATTTGTTTCTTCGCATTTTGAAAGAAATCGATTTAATTAAGAAACATTGAAAAAAGGGTTACAATTAATTATTGCTAAATATATAAAATATTTTGACACAACCATTGATTTCAATTACAACGTATATTCATATGAGTCCAGTTAGAAAAAAAAAATTAATTGTTATAACAATTATCATAAATTCAATCAATGTGTGAGTTTAAACAACTTGATAGTTATGATGATGAATAATTGAATTGTTATCAAGTAAAACAATGATCATCGGTTAAAATTAACATGAAGGTAAATTACAAAGTCGCAATGATTTAGGTCTTGTCAATGGTGAACAATAATTAGGTGAAATAATTGAGTAAATTGTGTCCACACCTTCAACTAATTTACGTAAACAAACAACAGTCCGAGTTTGGTATCCATGACCACATGAAGCTGAACATTGACTCCAATCTTCAAATCTCCATCTAAATTAACACACAGAGAAGCAAAATAATTAGTACCACAATTAAGATGAAACTTGTATAATGATCACTTACTCTCCATCACAAGGTTGATTGTTACACGATTCAACTGTATTAATTAGTCTTGGCGGTTTTTTAATCAAATCACAGAAATGATCGGCTACTATTGTATGTCCATTATTACAATGGACACTGAATGTCCGGTTACCCCCACCACAGGGATGAGAGCACGAGGAAACTGAAATGCCCCATGAATACATTTTCATTTCTCTGTTAACGAATCCACTTTGGTTGGACAATTTATTATTCTCAATTTGATTATTGTCATCAAAGATTTTACTATTGCCTGGTTGACCAGAAGAATTTAAATTAACTGGAAAAGTGGAATTAGTGATCTGTAAACTGTTTGATGATCGTCGATGGCGATTAAGAAATTGGTGCTTTCGTCCAAAGAGGATTTTAATATTTTCCACTTTATTAGATTCGCCTGAAGGAAAGAAAAGACAAAGATTAACATTTATTTTCACTAATCCAACGAGTAGAAAAACTTTCCCAGATTTACTCTTACCTTCAATTAAAGGTAAATCATTTTCATCAAACAGGACACACTGACCATTAACACAATAAGCCTTTTTTCCCAAATTAAATCCCAATGAGCACTTTGTGCCCAGAGGGAATTTGCCATCATCGAAAGCGTCCATTTGGTAATGCATATCTTTCCAAACTCTGTCCTGACAGGCGATCACACAACTCGAATGTGGATTATCTGAAATTCAAAGCGGAAAACTGACCTTCAGAATCTTACTTTTTACCATAACTAAAATTGACCATCGGAAATCTAACTCACCAGGTCTTGGAGGTAATTGTCTTCCATTACCGCTCAATAGTGTTGGATATTTGATCTTATACTTGGTACATAAATCATCGGCATATTTGTCCACCGGTTTAATTGATCTCTTTGGACAAGCGACATCAGAACTAGAACATAATTGGAATGAATCTTTTTTCCTATGGCAAAATCCACTGAAAGAGATAAATTGTTATTAATTAATTTTCATTTTTCTTAACTCTTTGCAATTAACTTACAATGGGTTACACTCTTTGGTTACTAATCTTAATCCTCGACTTCCCGATAAACAAGGATAACGACAACTACTGGTACCAATCCATGGGCCTGAATATATGTTCCAGAAATCGGTTGATTCCTCTTGATTTGTCTTATCAACTTTTACAATAAATCGACAATTAAAGTTTAATAATCAATACATGTATTAATCTGTTTGAAATCAACTCTTTGTAATTTATTATTTTCATATTTACCTGATATTTTTGAACAAGGTTCAATGTCAGATGAATCTAATGATTTACCTGAGCAATCAAAAGATTTACATTCACCATTGAAACAAAATTGATTAGTTAATTGTGATTCACTTGATCCACAAGGTGACCCATCAGGTACTTTCCATCCGTGAGTGATTAATCCTCCACCTCGTTTGTGACACCAAACATAGCAGGAATGAGTATCTGTGATTAAGTTAATTGTTGTTTAAAAACAAAATCGAGAAAATTAATTATAATTCTTAGATTAACTAATCAGCAATAAAAACTAATCATGACCAGTAGTAGTTGTAATAGTTAAGGGAAACGATCAATGATTTAATCTTATTTATATCACAATTAAGTCAATTGATTACAGTTAATTTGCAATTCATTTTTGATTTGTTTATCTATTAGAAAAAAAGTTAATTGTTCCTTATCCATTCAATCATATAACTAATTTATAATAAATCAATTGATAATCTAGCTTAGATTAGTGATCGTGAGTAAATTAACCTTGACATGGTTAACAACAATTAGCCTTAAGGGTGATTATCATATTGGATTTGAATTAAATCAAAGGAAACACCTTGAAGATTAAGTTTTTTTTAAATCGTAGTAATAACAATGAAAAATAGAAATCAATTAATACCTATGCAAATGAGCAATTAATTGTTAACGATTAAGATTAGTAATGATCGTGTTGAACAATTGAACGCAATTTTTGTTAAATTGTCATCCTATTATTGTAATATTAACAATTTGTTTGTGTTGAAAACATATGATGATCATTGAGTAGTGACCAGGCCAAGTTTTAATGGCAATTTAAATATCAAACAATTTAAAATGGTTAAATTAATTCACCAACCATTTAACCTAATTGTTAACGACAACAGAAACAAAAAATATATCAACTCTCACTAAATTATCATTATTAAATGTGATAAATGATATTTAATTATGTGATAACTTGACTTAGCAATAAGTTATCACACTCAAACAATCAGATTGTTGTTAATTTAACAAAATCAATTGTAATTGATTGTATCAATATTTTAATTCTTAACGTTTATGTAATAATATATTTGTTTATTTACTAATAAACTTAATACGGATAATATGATACGGATATTATAAACTAATTGTTTCCCTTTGAAGTAAACAAATTGTTTTGATTTTACGTTTCTTAACCTTCAATTCATGTATTAGTTAATTGTTGATCAACTGTTAACTAAATTAACTTACACCCATATCCTGGGAATTGAGTCCCAAGCGGTTTAATCATCGGGTCTCGTTGTGAAGCTGATGTGCAAATTTGTTGAACGTAATTTTCAATTTCCATTATTTTATGAGGTTGTGAACGACATTGCTGTTGATTAAAGAGATAAAAAAGTGAAACAATTAGCAATTAATCTGATTATAAACAATGAGAAGCTAAATAGTTGATGATAAATTGACCGTACATGAGATGCATCACAAATTTTGAGTCTTCTATCAATTCCTGTACATGAAATTGTTTCATTGATTTTCTGAGATGATGTTGATTCAATTGACGGTGATTTTGATTCAATTGTTGTCAAATTTAATGATGATTCTGTAATTGATGATGTTGGTGTTGGTAATGGCGGAGGTGGTTCTGATGAAGGAACATTACAAGTTCTGATGGAGACCATAACACCGAACGGTTTTAAGTGACCTTTTACAACACAATCGGATGAACATTGAGTATAACTTGACCAGTCGGACCAAAGTTGGACTTTAGGTTCATCTTTGAGAAAAGTTTCTGGGGCGGGAATGGTGGTGATCATATTTGAATTGCTGTAGATTATTTTACTTTCAGCTGTTTCGATTGAATTTACTCGAGTGATACATTTACCCTCACGGCACCACTGGTGAAATAAATCAATGAGAAAATGATATTTAATTCAGTATAATTAACTTTGATTCTGTAGTAAAATAATACAAACCTTATCTTCACCACAATTTGTACCTTCCAGTGCTGGGTGAGCATAAAGGGCGACAACATTTCGAGCGGTTCCGGTGTCACATCGAAGTGATCGACAAACATCTGATTCGGGTTGAACAAGAGATCGACGACTATCAGAACCAAAACGTAGGACACATTGTTGATTAGCATCGAACAATTGTCCAGGTAATTTGGTTGATTCGGGTTGCGAGGAAAAGGAACTTAAAATGTTAACACTCGAAGTCGGTGTTAGAACACACGAGGCTTGAGGCTGTTCGATAAACTTTTCTAGATATTCTCGACTGCATGATGACCACGACGTTTTACCAGCACCCAAAGTAGGTGACATGATGAAATTATCATGATCACATAAATTACCATCCTGATTTCCATCATGCTCCATTCCTAAGCTAAATATACATTGAGAAGGTTAATGAAAATAAAAAAAAAATGTAAATACTAGTTATTGATGTGAATGGAAATTAAAGAAAACATTTAATTGTTAAAGAAAATCTGAAATCTTTTCACTCTCTAATTACACAATTAATTAGGCTAAATGAAAGATTGATGAATAAATAGTGACCAAAGTTAAGAGTTAATTACAAAGTAAAAGTAAATTAATTAGGTGATTAACTTGAGCAAAACTTTTGTTCTAATTTTTTTTGGTTTAATTGAAAATTATTATGAGTTGATTAAAGTTTTGCTCATCACTCTCACATTTAGTTAATTGTTAACTTTCTTGGTGGCCTGATAATGATTAGTTACCTGTGTCCCATTTCATGTCCAGCGACCAGAACAGTTTGGAAACTGGTCCCTTCACTAATTGTGCAGCTATTAAGTGAATTACACATCCCACTGACCGGTGCAAGTCCAACAACATGACGCTTTTTCCTTCCCTGATTGTCAATAACGTACATGTTGATTCTGTTGATTAAAGTGAACATTTGATTAGATATCAATCTATCAAAATAATAATTAACTAATTACCCAGATAATAGTAACGCATGATCCCAACGAGACTTTGATTCACCATTTTGGTTGTTGATTGTCCGCTTATTGTGTTGCCACACACAGAAATTAGTTAAATAAGTGTCAATATTATCCGATGAAATTAAATCCTGTGAAAAATTAAGTTAATAACAATTAAAATTATTTGCTTTTAGATACAAAAACATTTTGAATTAAATGTACAGTTGCAATCACTACGCAACGATTTCAAGGTGATAGCAATTCATCAAGCTGAAAAAAACCGGTAATTGTCAATTAATTGTTGTTGATTGTGAGGATTAGTATCAACCTAATTGATCACCATAAAGGGAAGGTGAATAAACCATTGGTTAATTCATGAATGGTTTTATCAAACAATCAAGAAATAAAAAAACATCAGAGGATAAAAAAAGAGTCAGTCAATTGATGAAAAACTTTGTTGTTAACAATCAAAATGAAAGGAGAATATGAAAGAGAATCAGTTGATTATGGTGATCATCAACATGATAATTCAGAGAAATAAAAAAAAATGAATGAAATTGAAAAGAATCAGGAAAAAAAGGATCAATGACCAAAGAGACAAAGAAGAAAAAAGTTGCCGATAAAATGGTTACAGTTAAATCAACGAATTGTATTAATTACCTTGGGCTGAGTTTTTAGGATATCGAGAAGGACGATTGAAATATTAACAGAGATTCCAAGTGATGGTTGTCTAAATAATAATTGAACTGCATTCATGATGGTCAAGACATAAGTGACCACTTGATGTTCAGTGTCACCGGGAAAAGTTTTTTGCATCATCGAGTATAAAGTTTCATCAATGAAAACTGCAGTTTCCACTGTGATTCCGGTGATTTTGTCTTTTGTTGATCGACGAGTACGATTATGATTATCAGCTGATGATAATGGTGGCAATTGAGATGGTAAGGGTGGGGTTAAAGGTGGGCTGTAATTTGTAAATGAATTTAAAGTAATTGGAACTCGTTTTCCTGATTAATAGAGAAAGAGAAAAAAAATTGATTATCATTCGTTGAATTGTTTTAGGAAAACGAACACAATTTAACCTGAAAAAATGTATAGCATTTTTTCAATTTTGTCAACACTATGTTTCAATGTCCAGTTACTTTTGAACTGACCAACATATGAAAGTTTCTTGTTGATAAATTGATTGTTAATTCATTAAATTGAATGTCTATCTTTGTTATTGTTTTCTGATTGTTCCGTTTTTTTAATAATGACTACTGTTTGTTGCGTGATTGTGATTGTTGTTGATGTTGTTGTTGTTGTACTATTCAACTCTCATGTTTAACAGGCTTTGAAATGATTAAAAATGAAACTGACCATAAGAGTATTATAAGTTCAAGTGCATGTTAGTTAAATTTAATTGCTTGGTCAATTACGTTGAATATAAGTGATTATAATAATGTTAATCAACGTAACGTTTGTTTTGTCCAACTGGTTGAAAGTTTTATATTTTTAAATCTGGTCAGTAAACTTGAAATTTAATTGTTCCTCATGATGCTGATTTGCAGTTAATTTATTGTCATTCTCAGGTAGTATTAATAATTAAATGGATAAGGTAGATTAGTTAATTACCTGAATGTGGACAATGATAATCATCCAGTGCTCCTTTTTTAACGACTATATGAGCTTGAGAATCAAATAAATTATTAAATCGTGGATGAGAAGCTAATCCCGGTGGAATCGGATTTATCACATAAATACCAGAATTTGTCTCAATTAATCCTCTCTGTAAATCAATTAGCAAATTGAGATAATCCAGTAATTAGCAAGAAATAATCAGAATAAGGAAAGAAAATGAAAAAATAGTAAAAAGGAAAATTAAAATGATAATCAACCTTGATAATCAATTGATCATTTGTAAATCTACAATCAAACAACAATCAGAAACTGTTGTAATTGTTTTTGATGGTTGATTAACTTATTACAATTTAAGGAAAAAACTAATTAGCAATTGAAGAAACAAAAAAAAATGAAAAAGTGATTAACTTTTAATTGTAACAATTTACTTACCAATCCATCACATAATGATAAGGCAACACTACTATTTAAATGGTTGAGGCAAACTCCTTGATAGAAACAATCAGCTTCTTGTATGGTGAGATCATTGAATTGATTAAAATTAATATAATTATTATTGGAATCAACAAATTGTTCCTTAATTGTGAAATGAGGTGAAATTAGGTGATTATTACGTTCCAATAGTAGATTAAATGTTTCATTGAAAACGTTAAACTGTATATCAAGTTTATCGGGCAACTTTGAATAGGAATTAATTGTTTCATTAAATGACTTTGGTATTGATGATGAAGATGAAGATGATTTAAATTGATTATATTTAGATGATAATCTTGAAGTATCACGTTTAACCAATTTCCTATTTGATGGTAATAATAATGGTTCAGATCCAGTAAATATCTTTGAAGATTCAACAATTTGAAAATCATTATCTAAATCAAGTAGATGATTAAAAAAAACAAGGTAGGTAGTTGATTAGTTGATTGTTATTAAAAATTTAATAAGGTGTTACAATAGGTTAATATTAACGGAATGGAAATTTAAATTGTTGACAATTTAAATTGCAAGTCGGAAGTGTTATTGTCCAATCATCAACTTTTGATTAATATAGTTGATCGTTGATTGTTTTAGGAAACTTAATTTAATTGATTGATCTTTTTTAAAAATCAATTCCTATGTTAGTGGGTTGGGTTGATTGTTGTTTACAAATTAACATGATGATTAGTTAATTTAAAAACGTACCTTGATTGTTTCCATTAAGAAAGAGTAATCTTTCCGATTCTGACATAGCTTGATGAACCCAGTTGATTCCATCTTTTAACTGTTAACAATTAAGAATAATAATTTTACAATTGATCAATTTTTTTCTCATTTAATTGGAGGTAAAGTTTAAATTGTAATTATAATCATCTAGGTGAGATTGACAATATCAACAACAGTTGATTGTAGTTCATGAAATGATTATGATTAGTTAATTGTGATTCAATTTTTCTTATATTTTTTGTTTATCAATTATCAATCAATAATCATATCATATTACAGGTAATTTATCATTAAATTGTTGTAGCAAATTAAATTAAAAGTATCAATAGCAGATTAGCGGGATGTAAATTGATTAACAATCAACTAACTAATCATTAACATGATTGATAAAAAAGAAACAGAGTTTAATTGTTAGGGTTAATTGTAATAATAATAGTATAGTTGCTATCATCATTTGATGAGATAATATTAATAGGAAATGATAGTTAACCAAGATAATTTAAATTATCATTTTTGATTTGATCGAATCAACCTACAACAATTTAACGGAAGCACCTTAATATGAACCAGGAATGGGATAAGATGTTAATTGTTCACAATTGAAGTAAATTGTTAATGTTGGTTAACCAAAAAGATAATCAAATACAGATACACACACCCAATTAAATGTCAATGTTGGTGAGTGGTGATGATAGTGATTAATAAATTGAGTTTAAATTGAGTTTCCTGTGAATTGTGAATAACAGTAAAACCATGAAGAAGATGATTGAGATTGTGTATCAACACAACAACAATTAAAAACATTGATTAATTTAAATTGTGTTTCAGGTGATGGATTAGAGGGTGAGAATTGCTATAATCTTCCTTATTTACACCATAATAAAAGGGTGTCAACAATCTGTAAATTATTGTTGATTAAATTGTTGTGTCTTTTTAATTGTTTACAACTTTTTTGTTCTTGTCAAAGTGAGTTTGTTAATTGTGTCACATTGAAGTTTAAATGATCAATATTTTTGATTCATAAAATTAAACCAATTCCAGTATCTTTAGGTTTGGTATATGAAAAGAAATCAATGAGTTACAATTTCAATGAGAAAAAAATATTTTCGCAATTAAAATTGAGGATAAATCTCAACAGTAATCAAATTGATTGTCTTGAGAGACGATCAGCAATCAACAACAATTTGTTAAAAGGAATCACTGAAAATCAAGGTTAACCCAGTACAGAAACAATTGATAAATTGTCACAACCTTGAAAGTTAATTAAACAATCAAAAAATTAACAAAAAACTTAATGACAACAATTGATTGTTATTCATCTTTGATTAAATATTTTTATCGTTATAATTATTGATTCAGTTTAAACTCGGAAGTTGTTTAAATTTATATAAATTGTTAATCAACTTTATGATTTTAGAATCAATTTCATTTTTTGAGTGATAGATTAACAGTAAAAACGTTAATTCATTCACAATTTCAATTCCTTAATTGTACCTTCCTTGGTTAATCATCATTCCAATCACTTTCTACCTTATATCCTCCCACTTTACCCTTAATTACAATTACACCTTGTGAGAAAATGATTTGCAATTAATGTTTGATCAACTTTCATTGATCATTTTACAGGTAGAGTAAAAAAAATCAGGTTGATTGTAAATAGAAAGTTAAATCAATGGATTTGAATCATTTAAGTGAGTAAGTTGATTAGTGATTTAAATGAATGGAAGAGAAAGTCAAATGTAAAAAAGGTAAGTAGATTTTTTTTGCATATTGATGATTTGAATATGTTATCACAATTTAGATAATTAACTAATCATCATCATCACGAATCATAATTTTACCTCAATCAAATTAAACAAAACTATTGTGGTAATTATAACTTATTAACAGTTGATGGCGATTGTTGATGAATCTGATTGTCATCTTTTCTCATTAAAAACAAATCATCTTGGGACTTGTTTGTTATTCTGCTTAATTGTTGCAATTAGGGTGAATTGTTGAAAGGAAATAATTGTTGTAAACTGGATTGCGAGAGAAGATCAATTCTGTTAATTGTTATACAAATTGTTTGTGAATTGATGATAATATACAAGTTAATGGAGTTTGATGAAATTGATGACCGGAAGAAGATCAATATGATTAGTGAGATAATCTTTCAAAAACTGGATTAGTTATCAAGTAACTAATACACATAGTAGTTTCAATCTTAAAATCCTTTTGTCAATTTATACAATAAGAGGTGATCCTTAATTGTGATGATGATTACATGTAGTGATTATCGTGTGTGTGTGTGGCTTATGTAATTATAACAATAAGAGTTAATTAGAGGAAAAATAATCAAAAGATCAAGATGTTAATGAAGATAATTTTATCATCATTCCCAATAAGTGAAAGGTAAAAAAGTAAACCTCACGAATTAACTCAATGGTTCATTTTACTTTTTCTTAATCACAATCATCATCATCATGGACCAGAATCGTATAATCAAATCAATTGGCCAAAATGATCTTGATTAATGACAGTTAGTTTCAAGTCTCAAGGTATTCAAGTATTTAACCACTTTGACGCCTCTCACGATTACAATTAACACGTTGATTCATCTTACCATAATCACCATCATGGATGAGCATCATCAAGCTTCTAAAGTCTAGTTTTCTATTTAAATTAGCCTTTAGACTTGGATTCGAGCGTTTTATTTAGACTTTAGCTTGGACTTATACATTTGAGAAAATTTTTAGACTTTAGATTTTTAGACTTGGGCCTAAAAGTCTAATTGATGTGATGTTTTTGAGAACATTTTCTTTAAAACGTCACTTCAAAGCTAGAGAATAACTATTTCTCAATTCTCTCTCTTTCATCATCTCTCTCTCTCAATTACCTTCACTGTATCTGAGATCTATCTCATTATTATTATCAATCTTTCTTGATCTCACTTCTCAATCTCATTTGATTAATTGGAGGAGAGATGTCTTTCTCTCTTCTTTGGGAGAGATCGTGAGAGAGGGAGTGAAATGAGTAAGGAAGAGTTGAAGGTAAATGAGAGAGAGAAAGAAGGAAAGAAATTAAATGAGAATAGAGTGGTAAATGAGAGAAGAGAGAAGGTAAATGACAGAGAGTGAGGTGAAATGGTAGAGAGAGAGAGAGTGAAGGTAAATGAGAGAAGAGAGAGAGAGACAGAGAGAGACAGAGAGAGAGAGATTAGAGTAATTTAATTGTCTAAAAATTTTGCGTAAGATTTAAAGAGAACCAATGGTTTAACTGTTTCACTTTTCAAGCTCATTCTCTTTCTGGTCAGAATATTAACAGCAGAGGAAAATGTTTCACTGATTTGACACTCGAAGATGGCAAACAAAGTAGATTCACGGCATTTGGTCAAGACAGGAAATCGATCTGCGTTCACTTTCCACCACTGAAGAGGTTTGATTGAGTGATTTCCAACAACAGAGTATATATAATCGTCTAGCTCGTTCCGATTAGAATATTCAGCGAATTGTTTAAATTTTGTAGCGGAAAAAGATTGATCAGTAACTTGAGATTGATGAGCCCCTGAAGATGAACCAGAATTTTCTTAATAATACCTTTCAATCACACTTTTTGCTTTACTCTCCATTGGGCTGTTTTTAAAACAATTGACCCTTGGATCTAATATGGTTGCTAAAACTGAAAGATTGGTTTTCATTTTCTCTTCGTAGTCATTTAGTTTTGTTTTCATAGCTGCGATGCATTCATCCAATATTGTTGTTTTTTCATATTCATCAAGAAATTTGATGAGGGTAAGATGATTTGGCCAAATCAAGTTAAGAGTTGGATAACTTGATGAGCTCATTTCAGTTGTTGTTTCCTCGAATGGTCGCAAGAGCTTAATTATATTATCAGCAACAACCCAATCATTATCTGATAAAGTGAGAGATATGAAGTCAGAATCATTAATTGTTAACCAATTCAACACAGGCTTGAGATACAAAGCGCTTTCAATCATGTATAAAGTTGAGTTCCAACGAGTAACAATATCCAGTTTGGGTGTATTGAATTGATAACTTTTCGCATGTTTCTTTCAGTTTTTGTAACTTTTTTGGCGAATCATGAAGTGTGGACATGAGTTTACGTAAAGATTTAAAGTTACCTTTACACATATTCAGTCCTGATTGTACAACTAGATTAAGTATATGACAATAGCACCGTTGGTGAATATCATTAAAGAAAGTGAACCCAAATCGATCTTTGATCTCTTTAACTGCTTTCAAATTGTTAGTTGCATTATCAGAAGTGAAACCGGTAAACCTTTCCTTTATACCGAAAAAAGATAAACAATCTTCGAATTTTCTGGCAATTTCTTCACCTGGAATTAATCAACAAAGTGATTAATGAGTTGATTCAATTTTCATCAACAGTGATTATGACCTCATGAGTTGACCATTCAATGCTGTCCAGATATCAGTTGTGAATCCAAAGTTAGTTTTTTCGTGAGCTACTAGTCTAAGTTTTATCTTTCTTTGCATCTCAGAAATTGAGTTATTACTTTGGATTTGAAATTATCTTTGTGTGGGATCACTAAAGATGGACTTAGAGAGAGCAACAAAAGGCGGAAATTGTTGTCATCAACAAGAGTGAAAGGTAAATGTCCTTCCATAATAAATTTAATCAAATAATCATCGAAAGTTTTAATCACTTTGGTAGTTTTAAAATGAGAGTCCAATGTTTGATTATTCAACAATTTCTGATGAGTTTTTATATGATATTTTAGAGAATCTGAACCAGATTTACCACTAAATGTTTTATCACACTTTTTGCACTTCAACCGATTTCCATCAATCTCATCAAAGTTATTCCATTTCCACGATTTACGCTTTTTAGGTTGAGAATCACAATTGTCATCACAATCAAATAAAATGTCTTGTGAGTTTAGCTCCATTTGTACAATTAAAAAACTAAATGAGGCAACAGTAAAATTTGAACACGAAAAAAAAGTTGAACTAATATGAAATAACCAAACTATTGAATCGCAAATTTTGACTTGAAAATTATGTTCATTACAAGATGAAGATATCAACTAAAATTTACTGATTGAAAGTTAGCTAAGATACCAAAAGACTGTAATGTGATCTCTTAAAAACAATTAAAAAAATCAGAGTCCAAGTCTAAACTTAAATCTAATGGTCATTAGACTTTAGCTTCAGAGCTAATTTTGAAGACTAGATTTCTAGAAAATTTCAAAAATTGATTTGATTTGAGTTAGTTCAAGTCTAATTAGTTTAACCACTAAACGTCTAACGTCTTATTGAATCTCTAATGAGCATCATCATCATGGCTACTATAACATGACCAAATCTTTTCACCGCCAACAGTAATAATCCTTTCATGAATATACAATCACCATCACCACCAAGAAAACTTGTTCCAATACTTGAATAACTTGTATAATAATCATGGAACTGACCACTTTCACTATGAGATGTTGATCACGAGGAAAACGCCGATAGTTGAAAATCAGGTTGAAATCAGAAAAAAGTAAATAAAACAATTAAAATGAAAACACTTTCATCATCAACTTACTGGTCAATCACCCAACAAGTAGAGGTGAGAAAGTATCATCATTATTATTATCAATAAATGATCAATAATTAATAATCAAATTAGATTTGATTATTTGAAAGTGAAAGAGACTGGTCAATATTGAGAGACTTGACTGGACATTTGATTAAAGGTAAAAAATTATACAATGAGTTTACAAACAATTGGACAGTAAGAGAAAAAAAAATTAACAAAAGAAATTAAATTAAATCAATGTTGTCGATTACAATCAACTATTAAATTACATAATTAAGTGTTTAATAGTTGTCGACATGACCCTAATATAATAACACTTTTGGGTGGAGATACAGATTAATACAAAATGTGAAGAAAAAGTTACCTTGGTAATGGATAAGAAAGAAATTAATTTACTAAATTGTTGTTCTAATTGTTTGTATTATTATTGTATATTAATTGTGAATTTAGGTAAACACATAAGAAAAATAAATTAACAATTAATTAGAAAATGAATAATGAAAAGAAAGTCATTGTATCTCTTGAATTCATCAATATTGTCATATCTTCCCAAGGAATGGAGATTTCTAATTGTCAAAGTTTTTCTCATTTTTTGTTAACCATTTAATTAATCAAACAATTAAAAGGTAAAATATACATTTTGATTACATATCCCTTATCATTATCTTTAGACCAGATAATTAACTGTCAAACAAAGGGTAATATGACAGGTAATTGACAATGAACTTGATCACAATCAATGATACACAAAAGAAAGCAAATCATAAATGACAATCAAAAAATTAACCATTAGAATAATAGTTTTAATTGCTTCTAAAAGCTACAAATTTCGTATCAATGTAAATCATCAACAATTAGGTAATCAAGGTTACCATAATCCAGGTATATTAAAGTGATAATGGTGGTTGATTTTAATCAAAAACAATTAATGATTGTAAAAGCATAAACAATTTAAGGTTAAAAGGTTGTTAAATTGTTAATAGTAATACGTTATGTGTATTTTAATATTAAAAATTAAATTTGATTGTAATTGTGTTTCTCATTTTGTTGTTTCGTTTGATTGTTAATTTGTTGGGAGTAATCATCAGCAATAAATTTAAGTAGAAAGTGATTAGTTAATCTATCACGAAATTAAGTTAATCCAAACTTTCAATTAACAATTTAATTCTTAGTTTCAAATTGATTAACAAAAAAGTAGGTATGATTTAATTTTTCCCTTGAAAACAATCAAATTGTATTAATATTGATTGTCACTGTTAACATTTTAATTGTTGACATTGATTTGGTCAAGAAATCACTGATTAGGTTAATTAACTGTGATTGTGGATAAGATTTATTATTTGTATTCCTCTTGTCGAGTATCTTCATTGTTAATACTGTTGATAAAATTCTGAATTAAACTAATCAACTTTTTCTTTCTTTAACAATCTAATCAACTTGTGAAAAACTATCAGCTTAATAGTCACAATTAAATAGTGAAACATCAGCAACAATTAACAGTTAATTATTTTCCTTTCACTTTAAATTATAGCAGAATTAATGCTTCACACCTAATCAAATTAATCAACTTAACAGTTAATTGTATCGATTTTGTAAACAATTTACTAATCCAACCCTTGATTATGTAAAGTGATCACAATTAAAATATTAACCTTGTACTGTTTTTTTGAATACATTTTTTCAATTAAACAAAAACTGTTGAAAGTAATTGTAGTTAATAATTAATTAATTGTAACACACTCTAAGTTGATTGCTGATAATACATTGGTCTTTCATTTTGGATGCTGATTGTTGTTTAGAAACTAATTTGAAACAATAAAAAAAGGATCAACAATGTTTGGTATAATATAAGTGGGATCAATTTGATATTAGTTAATTAAATTTTATTAATTGTTGTTACATTGATTGTAACGATTTATAAAAGGATCATGATTAATAAAAATGATGATGTAAACATAATTGAATAAATTATCAACTGATTACTACAATCAACCACCATACAATTTAAGTGGATTTAAAGTTTAATGTCAAGGCCTAATGGTTTAACTTAACTGATTAACTGATTAATATGCTGGTTAATTAATAATAAATTAGTTGAACAATCAAAAAGTTGAATTCAGAAGATTGATAAGTTCTGAGACTGAAACTTCAATCGACTGAATTAAAGTGATAAAAAGATTGAAATTAATAACAAAGGTACAAGTTCGATAACTTGAACTGAGATTTTAGAACGAAACTTTTTTCGAACTTTACTTTTAATTTTGTTCGAAACAAAAATAAATCGATTGATTCTTCCAATCACTTGAAATTGACCAGAGCTGGACAGTAATCAATAATTACGATTCAATATTAAGCTTCAATTGATTGATTTAGAATCTAAATTGTTTATTAATAAACAATTTTGATAACTGGACAATGTTAGAACTTTTTTTTTCTAATCATTTTATATTTTTGAATAAATTGTTAAGGAAATTGTAGATTGTAAATGGTAACAATAATAATAAATTGTTAACAGATAACAATTTACCAATTGAATTAAAAATAGCAATAGGTAATTGGTAATCAAATCAATCATTGAATTAATCAGTTGAATGTATGTGTTTTGATACAAGACAGATGATTACAAAATGATAATCAATTGATTGTTGGGATTGTTATCATTTAATTGTTGATCATTATTATGATAATTATTATTATTATCAGATTTTGAGGATGAGATCAACAATTAATTAAATTGGATAAGAATTAAGAGGAAAAATTAGCTGGAAAAAGGAACAAAAAATCAATCACTTGTTAATCATCTCGTAGGAACAATATTGTTATTATTGTGATTAAATCGATTCGTAGGAGTAGATTAGTTGATTAAGAAGATTATCTTAATTCGCAAGGTTATCTGGTCATGATTAAGGTAAGAATCTATTAATTTAAATCGATTTCTTTATATTATTTTATGATCTGATCCAGTTAATTCATATTCATTTAGCTGAAAAGAGATCAACAGGAATTGATCATCATCATTAGTTGATTGTAGATCAAACGTGATCGAAAAAAATTGTCAAGGATCTTATTTAATCAAATCAACAAATTGTTACTTTGGTTAGTTAATTGTTGCTCTTTTTTTTTCTTTAGCACTTTGATGATTTAATTTTTTTTCTGTCTCATTTAGTTAGACTAATTTACTTTGCTTTTGATTACTTTCGCGATTTGAATGATACTTTCGAGAATCAAATTGAAACAATTAAGGGCTCCTAATTTGGTTGTTAACTATTTGATTGTTGTTGTTTGTTTATTAACACATTAACCTGATTGCATTTTGTTTGTTTGTTTATTAGTTGATTTATTTGTTTTAAATCGGAAAGAGGGAATTGGTTAAGTTAATTATGGATTAATGAAACAAAAGTGAAACAAATCAAATTAAGATTACCACTTGTTGATTGTTAGTCAATGACAATTGTGATGCTAATGATCACCAAGAATACAATTTACTTTTCACAACAATTAACGAGTAATTTGAAAGGATAAACAAATAGGATAAGTGATTCTTTCTTACCTTTGATTGAATATTTCCTGAGGTGAAAGGCCAACTGATTGAGGTGATTAGTAGAAGGAAATAAATTGATGATTTATTTTGAACACAAATTGTTGTTGGGTAGAAAATTTGTAGCATAATTGATTAAAAAGGGTTAAAAAAATCAGGCACAATTTAGAGTCACTCATTTAACCGAACACTTAATTAATCCAACATAGAGAAATTAAAAAAAAAATGAAACAACAATAAAATTAACCAAACAGATTTTAAGGCAATCGGCAATGGAGAAAAGTGAAACAGTTAATTGTCACCATCAAACTGATTAATCATAAATTATGGAGAAAAAGATCACTAATTAGAGATGAGAAACAATTAATAACACAGAGAAAATCGGTCACCATAATTGACAAATGGAAAAGAGAATAGAACAAAAAAAGAATCTAAAATCCAAAATGGTTTCCAGTGGTAGAGAAACGATGATGACAAAGTTCATTTGTCAATATGAGAAAACTGATTAATATTATTAACCAGTTAATAGAAAAAGTTTAATTGTTAACAGTGATTGTGATTAACGTTAATTGTCACCGAGAAGTGAATGACACTCACAGGGAATATTAATCATGATTAAGAATTGGAACTAAATGAAAATCATGGAAGTTTAATCATCGAATGATCTTTAAGAATAAAAGAAAATTTCTTAACGGACAAAGAGAGAGAAGGAGAGAGAGAGCGATAGTTCATTCGACTCACTTTTTGTTGTTTATCTTTTTCTTTTTCTCTCTCTCCCTTTCCCTCTCTTTTTCTTCATCTCCCATTTTTCATCTTCCTCATCATCATCATCATCATCTCTTTCTCTCTTTCTTTCTTTCTTTCTAATTGTATGGAAATTGTTTTCTCACTAAATGTTGATCATTTTGATACAATTTTTAATAAGCAACGATCATTTTATAGACCAATTTATTCAATGATTTCACTTCTAATTGATTAATTGTTTGAATTTCAATTGATTGTTCATTTGAATTTCGGTGAATTGCTTTTTTTTCTGGTAAATTCTCATTCGATTCATTTAAATGATCAGGAAGGATTATTGATTCAGGTAAGAAGACAATAAGAGTTGGTCCGACATTTTATTTTTCTTTTGTCTGGTAAACAAGTTAAGCTTTTATTCCAATGTTTACATTGTGTTGCCTTAATTTACTTGATTGTTTCCTTAATTGTGATTGATTTTTTTTCATTCTTTTTCAATTTAGTTGCCTAATTATAGAAAGATGGTAATCAGTGACTTTGAATTTAGATTTTCTTTCGAAAAGGGTTTCATTTCCATCGATGAAGTTTTCTCTTGGTGGTCAATACTTTCACTGTTTTCGCTGGCGTCCAGACCCATGGTGTTGATTAACTATATGATTTAATTGTTTTTTCTCCTTTTCTGTGAAAGTAATTAATTGTGAGACGGTGAGAAATCTCTAGGTGACCTCGGTCAGTAACTTGAGTTGACCGTCACTGGGACAATGAATCGTTACTAAGTACTTAATCTTTGGCTTAATGCTAACAGGTTGTTGACTCTGTTAGTTAATTATCATTGAAATTCAACGTTAATTAACATGCTAAATTGACTCTTTTATCTTTTTCTCATTTCTTTCTCTCTCCCTCTCTAGCTCTCCATTCATGTTCATCTAATTCCGGAAACTTTTGGACTCCAAATGGGAAAAAAACATGGCCACTCCTAAGAGATTCTAATGGGTGATGGAAGATAAACAATGATGACCAGAAACAACCAAAGAGGAAAAGGAAACAATAACAAAAAAGAAAAAGAAAAAGAAAAGAAATTGAAATGAAGGGATGAACAGATAATCTCTGTTCTGGAAAAAAAGGAAACCCTTTATTTTCATATTCATCGTTGGTTAACCAGATTAAATTGTTAGAATTACGTTCTCGTTATTTTCTTCCATCAAAAATGTAGACACTTTTCATTGATTGTGTAATTTCTGGTTACCCTCAACAATTGAAGTTCCAAGAGGAAAAAAGACTCAATCAAAATTGAAGACAGTTCCATGTTCTTGGTCATTTATCCTTGAATATTATTCAACTCTTATGAATCTCTAAGCGAGTTCAGATTAACTCAAGTTTCTATTAATTCCTCTTTCTACAAACACTTATCTTCTCTGTCTTATTCTCCTCATCTTTTCCTCTTTCATCATCATCTTCTTACTTCTGCGTCGAGAAAATTTCTAGTTTTCTCTTGAAATCCATCTGTGAATCTCAGTTTTTAGAATCATCTTGACAACTCTTACCTTTTATTTCTGGTTTGTTTTTATTTTCTTTTTTGATACAATCAATCTTAGTTTGTCTTTTTCTAATTGTGATGATACCTGATCAATGAACAATCAGAAATTCTCATTAATTTGATCAATTTGAACACCAAGAGAAACAAATATCGGTGAGTTTTTTCATCTTCTTTCATTTTTAAATGCCTTTTTTAGCCTTGTTTGGTTTTCTAATTTATTGTTTTTTCTATTTTCTATAGAATTGATTGATTTCCAAAGCTAATTATGGATCATCTTTTATTCTAATTATCATCTTAACCGGCATTTTATATTGTGTCATATCATTTGTAGTTAATTTAACTGGTGTTGTGATTATCCACTTTCTTTGTTTATCCAACAGCAATAAGGCGATTCAATGATGATATTTTCTGTGAAAGATTTTGGGTTTTACCGACTGGTCAATTTTTGTTTACTCATCTTGATTTGTGGTTCCAATGTGAATGGTGAAGTTTTTACTGCTCTTGTTGACCTGGAAAAGCTTTTGGAAATCGAAAGGACAATTGTTTCATCATTGGATTCATATTTAATTGGTGAAGAGAGACGATTAAGACAATTGAAGAGCATTCGAGAAAAATTTGCTTCAATTGAATCGATCGCTAGTCAAGATGTTCAATCTTATTTGGCCAACCCCGTTAATGCTTTTCTTTTGGTAAAAACACTCACCTCTGATTGGAGAAATGGTAAAGTAATCAAATTGTTACAATCAATCGATTTCCTTTTGATTATCATCAACATAGATCATCATAATTATTGCTAAGCTTTCAGAAAACATATCCTCGTATTCAACATGGATAGAAATTCATTCATTATTAAGATAAGATTGAAGGAAATTCATTTCTAATTCATCCTTTACGTTGATTGTTATCGTAATTTGGTTTCAAGTCAGCACAAAATGAGCACTAATTATGTTTTAAGTGTTTACTGGACAAGATGATCTGAAGATCTAACCTTGATCTACACTCATCAGGATGAGGATGTCACGTTGACGTTAATTTTAATTTATTTCTATATTTAAGTCAACTTATCGTTTCGACCATTTTTTCATCATGAAAACTTTTGAATTGAGTTATTGAAATGAACTATAAAGATGAAAGTTGAACAATTAACCGTCAAAGAAGATGGAGAAACAGTCTAATTATAATTGTTGATGAAAAAAAATTGATACATTTTACTAAGTCCATTTAATGTCCATTAAATTGTTTTCCCATTCTCATTAATCTAATTGTTTTCTTTTTCTCTAATAGCTGAAGCCTTGATGGTTGAAAAATCTTATGAAACTGGTCAACAATTAATCTATCGAGTTCAAAATTCTAGTGGTGAGACTTTCCCTTCAGCTGAAGATTTTAATGGAGCAGCTGATGCACTTTTACGACTCCAGGATACTTATAAACTGGACACTTCAAGTTTAGCCAGGGGAGAGATTCGGATTGCTCAACAACCTCAACATCATCCTCTCTATGACTCTAGTAACCCTGACGATTCACCTTTTACCTTGGTATCACCTAAAAGAGTTGAACTCAGTGCTGGTGATTGTTTTGATCTTGGTAAATATTCATATGTAAATGGTGATCATTATCATACAATCCTTTGGATGCAAGAAGCTTTAGACCGATGGGAAGAGGAGAGTTTAAAAACAGCTGACAAAGCCGAAATTCTCGAATATCTGGCCTTTTCAACTTTCCGCCGAGGGAACGTTCGTCATGCCCTTAAATTGACCAATGAACTACTTCGTTTGGCTCCGAATCATCCTCGAGCAGTTGGTAACAAGGTTTACTATGAGGAGGTGTTGGGTCATTCTGGTAAAGCAAAGTTACGTGGTGATGTTGGTGACGATGATGAGGTTCCAATTGATGAAAACATTTCTACTGTTGATTCACCTGTAACCCAAGAAAGACAATCATATGAGGCTCTTTGTCGAGGAGAAACCATTTTACCTCAGCGAATAACCAAAACTTTAAATTGTTTCTATTTAAATACAACCAACAAACATCCTTATTTACGTTACACTCGAATCAAGGTTGAAGAAGCTTATAAGAAGCCATTAATTTTAATTTATCATGACATCATGTCAGATAATGAGATGGAAACAATCAAACAATTAGCTTTACCTCGACTTAAACGAGCAACTGTTCAAAATCATAAAACAGGTAAATTGGAAGCTGCTCATTATCGGATTAGTAAAAGTGCCTGGTTAAAGGGAACTGATGATCAAGTTGTTGATCGGGTTAATCAAAGAATCGAAGATATTTCTGGATTAACTGTTGATACAGCTGAGGAGCTACAAGTGGTCAATTATGGTATCGGTGGTCATTATGAGCCTCATTATGATTTTGCCACACAAAAAGAAATGGATTATCATAAGGCTGATCCATTTGCAGGCCTTGGAACTGGAAATCGCATTGCAACTTGGTTAAATTACATGTCCAATGTTGAAGCGGGTGGTGCAACCGTTTTCCCAACATTGGAATTGACTCTTTGGCCTAAAAAAGGATCAGCCGCTTTCTGGTATAATCTTCATCCAAGCGGCGATGGTGATCTTTTAACTCGACATGCCGCTTGTCCTGTTCTGGTTGGATCGAAATGGGTATCAAATAAATGGTTCCATGAAAGAGGACAGGAACTGAGAAGACCTTGTGGATTAAAGCGTAATGATTGATCGTAAATCTAATAATCATTTTTTAAACGATAATTAGTCCAATCAATATTTATATTTACTTCAAGTCAACATTTCCTGTTCCTTTCACCAAACATTATGATAAAATCATCAAATCTAATCAAATGTGCCAATATTTATATCAATTGTGACAAAATTTCAATATCATTTCACATTTAATGTTTAACTGGTATTGACAATCTTAAACCAAATCGCTTAAATTGTTTCTATTCAATTCACTTTCCTTGTGACAAAGTCTACAAACGATTCTTTCTAGGTAATCATAATTGTCGATCTCTTTCTCTCTCTTTTTTCTCTACCTTTTTTACTCAATTATGTAAATACCAATTGATTAAAAAAATGATCGATATCAAATTTTAAGGACCAATTGGTAACTAGAAAAAGGAGAGATTATAAAATTGCCTTGACAGGCTCTACAATGAAAGTATCATATGTAATAAGCAATAAAAAGTACCAAAAGTACTAAATGTATGAAAAAATGCAAACCAAAAACTTGATTGAGTTTTGTTTCCGCTTAATTTGATTATTGTGGTCAGTTTATCATTTGAAAAACTTTTTAAGATCATCGACTTCTCGTTTCATCCAATTTGTATTGGTCCTTATCCAATCTAACCCTTTGGCTACTGTTGTTTCTTGACCAGAGAAATGATTCTTGTTGAAGAAATCTTCAATGTCTTTGGCTTCTGCTTCGGAGGCAAAACCTTTAAGAATATTCTGTTGATAGAAATGAAAAAGAAGATATAATTTGAGGACGAAAAAGAGAATTGACAATCCAACTGACCTCAATTAACCGGACAATAGCATAATGAGATCCGTAGCGTCTTTTAAATTCAACTGAATTTTCCTTGAAAAATTTCCAAGATTCATCTCGTCCCAGCTTCGAGGAAGCGATACCAATGATGGCTAACCAAGCATCTTGAGATCTCACTTGATCCTGAAAGAGTAGAATTAGAGTTAATCTAAATCTATTTCAAAGGTCATTTAATTAATACAATTGATGTTTACCGATAGTGTAAATTTGAGAAGTCGTCGCATTCGAGCTGGATCATTGGTGCTCCCCATACATTGAACTAATCTGAGTTTCTCTTCGATAAGATCTGAATCACGATGTAACTTTTTTAGTTAATAAGAAGAAATAGAAATTAACTTATTAGAATATGTGATTGAATAATGTAATGATTAACTCGAAGAAGAGTTTGTTAATTAGAAGAAATAGAAATTAATCAATTAGAATATGTGATTGGAGTGTTGTAGTGATAAACTGGAAGAAGAGGTTTTACCTTATAGAAAGAATCGAAAGTTTGATCATCACAAGAAGAAGCGACTGCTCGATAAACACAACTTCGAATATCGGGATTTATTGGTTTTCCTTCGAGATGATTCTTGAATCGTGACCAAGATTCTTTAATTACTGGTTCGTATCTGAAAGAGACCAAACGATTAAAACCAAAGCTCTTAGGAGATTCTCTGTATGAGCGTTAGGGTCTTTCGATTCGAATCCAAGTTTATCGAATATTTTTGAATAAAGTTTTACTCCTAGTGCGTTGAATTTATCAGTTAAATCAGTATAAGAAAGGAGCGAGCCCAGTTTACCGAAACAATTATCGATAGCGACCCAAGTTGAATAATTGTCTTCATCAGAATAAGACTCAAGGAGTGAAAGGACAACTCGAGTAGAGATATTACCGGAAAGTGCAAGAGCCAATGAATCATTAAGTATCTGTAATCGATCAACAGCTACTAATTGTTTCGCTGAAATTGCTGATTTAAATTGGTTCAACATTTCAGTTGAATAATTTACTCGATAGAAATCCATCACTTTTGGATTGAGTTTAATCCAATCATTTGGAGACACATTTGGTATAATCAATTCGGTTGTTCTTTCAGTCATAAGAGTTGATAAGGCGACTTTGTTTGGATCTTTAGAAGTGATTATGGAGATTGGAATCATCCACATCATTTGTTTCTCTTCGTCAGTTAATACTCCATCAATAGAGAATTTTTGTTGTTCTAATTTAAGAACACGATTGTTTCCATCTTGTCTTGATTCTACTTTAATCACCGGATAACCGAGTTGTTTAGTCCATGTGGGCATCGTCTTTCCAACAGGTTGATTACTTGCAGCTTCCAATGAGTCCCATAGATCTTGAGTAACAGCATTTCCATAAGCATGTTTATCAAGATACTCATGTAATCCTTTACGAAAAGCCTAACAATTAAAATGAGTTATTTGAGTATTTATGTAACTTGATCTACGTGGAATTTTGAATTAAGAAACTGGTGAAAATTTACCTTATCTCCAATCCAATTGTAACACATGCGAATTACTGATGCTCCCTTTCCATAGGAAATTTGATCGAAAATCGAGTCAATATCATCTGGATGATAAACTGGTACCTCGATGGGATGACTGTTACGAAGAGAATCGGTCTCAAGAGTAGGAAGTGATACGCAAGCAACAAATTGAGACCAAATGTCAAAATGAGGGAAAATTTTATCCACTGCAAGATATTCAGTGAAACGGGCGAATCCTTCATTGAGCCAAAGGTCAGTCCACCATTCCATTGTTACTAAATTACCGAACCATTGGTGAGCAGTTTCATGAGAAACTGTTAATGCGATACCTTCTTTGGTAGAAGATGAAGTATTTAAAGGATCAGTAATGATTCTCATCTCTCGATACATAATCGCACCCCAATTTTCCATGGCCTGATAAGCGAAATCAGCAACTCCGATATGATCCAATTTACCCAAGGGAAACGGGATATCGAAAAAATCTTCATAAAGAGTGAGAGATTCAGAGGCCACTTTCAGTGCGAATGTCCCTTGATCTTTTTTCCCCACGGTGTGTATACTCGTATTCGTGTGTTACGTTTAGTAGTCGTTTCCACATACTCATAGTCACCAATTACGAAAGCAACGAGATAAGATGACATAACTGGTGATGGAGCGAATTTAACAATCTTAAGATTTGGATTCTCTGGGTGTGGAATATCATTAACTGGATCAGTGTTGGATAAAACTGTTCGGTCTTTCGGAGCAATAATGGTCACCTCGAATCTCGCCTTGAATGAAGGCTCATCCCAACATGGAAAAGCCCGACGAGTCTCAGTGGCCGCAAATTGGGTAAGAGCACCATATCGATCCTCTCCATTTGGTCCCTTGTATTTGCTACGATAGAAACCAACCATTTGATCATTGAGAATCCCAGAATATATAAACGATAAGACACCATTTCCAGTTTTAAGTTTCTGGGCAAATTTGATATTGGCCTTTTTCTCAACCGTGTCAATGGTCACTTGTCCTTGATGAGTCACTAAAGAGAAAATAAAAAAAGAGAAAATTGTCAATAATGGTAACACAACAATCGCCTCATGTGTCAACACCGGTAGAAACCAGAACGCTTGTTTTGATCTGAGGAAATAGAAATACACTTACCCCCTGATTCAGATTTAAAGGTTGCCCTTTGAATCTCAATTTCAGCGACATTGACGACAATCAAATCAGTGCTTTCGTGTACAAATACCTCGATGTCCACTTTACCGGAAAAGACAAATTTCTCTAAATCCGGTGTCACCTCCAATTTGTACAATGAGGGAATCACATTTTTTGGTAACCTCTTGTAATGTTTGGGTTTAACTGATGAAATCGGCGGTGACATTTCCTTCAGATCGGAGACACTTTCACTTTGAAACAAAATCTAATCACAATTGAATCAATTTAAGTTGAAAAAACAATGAAAACTTGACCAATATGGTTAATCCGAAACAGAAAAGGGAAAACAAGAAACAACAAAATATTGTTACCACAAATTAGAAAACAACAGACTGAATAGTTGCTTTGATCTTTGTAATTTGATTCTCAGCTAATTGTCCACAGTGAAGCCTTTATATTTAGACTCTTCCAAGGAAATGTTGGTTATTAAATTTCACTTCGAACAACAGTTGAAAACATAATCAACTCTCTTTCAAATAATCAAGTACCAAGAGTATCAGAATCCAATACTTGGTTTACCTTCACAAGAATAGAAACAAAAAAAAAGGAACCGAACCCAATTGGTGAGACGTTTTTCTATTAACAAATTAATCACATTGTCGACAAAAAGGTGATCAAATGATTAAGATGTGATTCGCCTTGATTTATTGTTAATTGTTTTCTTTTTGTAACAATAAAATCAACGGATCACATTATTTACTAATTGTCTGGAGTAAAGATCAGGAAAAACTTCTTGGTTATCAGTCAATTCATTCATGTGTCATGATGACAGTTTGTTACTCTTGTGATTAGATAATTTGAATTTCAAATGATCAAATTAACTGGTTAATTGTTTTATTTTGATGACTTGTAAACATTAAACTAGATTGATTAGGATTGTGTCTCAAGTATTTTTGTGTACATTTATTATCCTCGTTGGATTAATTGTTTAGAATTGAAGGGAAAAAATGACGGTAATTAAGTAAATTTAGAAGAAATTTCTTATTCTAAATCCAGTTTAATCTTAATTAATTAAGTGTAGTAAATTACTTTCATCTGTTGAGAAAACATTGAATTCTTTATGGTTATAATAAAGTATAAAACTTATGGGAGATTAATTTGATTTAGAATCAAGATAATCTTTAATATCATTGAGTTCTCGTTTCAACCATTCGGAGTTTGATTTGATCTTTTCCAAACCTCGAAGAATAACTTGTTCGTGGCCAGAGAATGAGTTTTGCGAGAAAAATTCTTCCACTTCTTTGGCTTTTTCATCGGAGGCGAAATCGGAAATGATGCACTAAAAAATATAATAAACAATTAGAATTGTACGAAAAAAAAAGAATTAAAATCATAATAATCACCGCAATTAAACGGGCATTCGAATGGTGAGATCCATAACGTTCTTTGAATTCAGCAGCATTTTCTTTGAAAAATTTCCAAGCTTCTTCACGACCATTTTTTGAGCCCACGGTCGATATAACACCGATCCATCCATCTTGGTATTTAACTTCACTCTGATTTTAATTTTGACGAAACGTTAAATTAGAATTTTATAAGACAAATGAAAAGTAATAAAGTAATTTACCGAAAGGGAGAATTGGAGGACCTTTCGAAGTCTTTCAACATCGGAAGTGGCACCGGTCGCTTGTAATAGCCTGACTTTTTCCTCGTTGAGTTCTGCTTGTCGGTACAACTGAAAAAAGAGATTTAAATCGATAAGAATTGTGAATAAATCAGCAATAAAATGGTGTAAATACCTTAAAGAAAGAGTCGAAAGTTTGATCATCACAAGACGAAGCCACTGATCGATACACACAATTTCTCAAGTCCGGATTGATTGGTTTGCTTTCCAAATGACTTTTAAATAGAACATGTGATTGTTTGATTACTGGATCATATTTAAATTTGGCCAATCGATTAAGAACCAAAGCTCTTAGGAGATTCTCTGTATGAGCGTTAGGGTCTTTCGATTCGAATCCAAGTTTATCGAATATTTTTGAATAAAGTTTTACTCCTAGTGCGTTGAATTTATCAGTTAAATCAGTATAAGAAAGGAGCGAGCCCAGTTTACCGAAACAATTATCGATAGCGACCCAAGTTGAATAATTGTCTTCATCAGAATAAGACTCAAGGAGCGAAAGGACAACTCGAGTAGAGATGTTACCGGAAAGAGCAAGAGCCCATGAATCATTAAGTATCTGTAATCGATCAACAGCTACTAATTGTTTCGATGAAATTGCTGATTTAAATTGGTTCAACATTTCAGTCGAATAATTTACTCTATAAAAGCCAATAACTTTTGGATTGAGTTTAATCCAATCATTCGGAGACACATTTGGTATAATCAATTCGGTTGTTCTTTCAGTCATAAGAGTTGATAAGGCGACTTTGTTTGGATCTTTAGAAGTGATTATGGAGATTGGAATCATCCACATCATTTGTTTCTCTTCGTCAGTTAATACTCCATCAATAGAGAATTTTTGTTGTTCTAATTTAAGAACACGATTGTTTCCATCTTGTCTTGATTCTACTTTAATCACCGGATAACCGAGTTGTTTAGTCCATGTGGGCATCGTCTTTCCAACAGGTTGATTACTTGCAGCTTCCAATGAGTCCCATAAATCTTGAGTAACAGCATTTCCATAAGCATGTTTACTAAGATACTCATGTAATCCTTTACGAAAAGCCTGAAAATCAAAATTATTTTTTAAATGAAGTTTTGGTAAAACTTTGATTAAGAATACGAATGAAAACTCACATCATCTCCAATCCAATCATGACACATTCGAATGATTGATGCACCCTTTTCGTATGAAATTAAGTCGAAAATTGAGTCAATATCATCCGGATGGTCAACTGGTACTTCGATAGGGTGACTACTTCGGAGTGAGTCCAAATCAAGTGCGGGAAGTGATGCAAAGGCAACAAATTGAGACCAAATGTCAAAATGAGGGAAAATTTTATCAACTGCAAGATATTCAGTAAAACTTGCAAAACCCTCGTTAAGCCAAAGGTCAGTCCACCATTCCATTGTCACTAAATTACCGAACCATTGGTGAGCAGTTTCATGAGCAACTGTTATAGCAATTCTTTCTCTGGTAGCAGATGATGAGTTCAATGGATCTGTTAAAACGGCTACTTCTCTATATGTTATTAATCCCCAATTTTCCATTGCACCGGATGCGAAATCAGGTATAGCTATATGGTCTAGCTTGTTCAACGGGAAAGGAATATCAAAATAATCTTCAAATAGAGTCAATGACTTTGAAGCTACTTCGAGTGCGAATGTCCCTTGGTCCTTTTTACCCAACTGGGTGTAAACTCGGATTCTTGTATTACGCTTGGTTATTGTCTCCAAGTAATCATATTCACCCACAATAAAAGCAAGAAGATAAGTTGACATAATTGGTGATGGAGAGAATTTAACAATTCGTAGATTTGGATTCTCTGGGTGTGGAATATCACTAACTGGATCAGTATTGGATAAAACTGTTCGGTCTTTCGGAGCAATAATGGTAACTTCAAATTTCGCCTTAAATGAAGGCTCATCCCAACAAGGGAAGGCACGTCGGGCATCAGGAGCCTCAAATTGAGTAGTTGCTGCATATCTTTCTTCGCCATTAGGAGCCGTGTATTTGGTTCGGTAAAAACCTTTCATTTTATCGTTCAAAATACCAGTAAATAAAAGTGATAAAACACCATCTCCAGTCTTAAGGTTGTCACCAAACTTAATCAAGGCTTTTTCGTTCACCGGATCGAGAGTTACCTGGCCCATTGATGAATCTAATAGTAGAGAAATTAATTAATACTAGATAATCAGATTAATTTGTTCTGTTTAATTACAACTACACACTTACCTTGTGATCCAGATTTAAAGGTCGCCTTTTGAATCTCAATTTCAGAAACATTAAGGGTAATCGAATTAGTACTTTCCTTAACAGATACATCGATGTCCACTTTACCGGAAAAGACGAATTTCTCCAGATCTGGTTGTAGTTCCAGTTTGTAAAGAGTTGGAATTACAGTTCTGGGTAATCGTTCATAATGTTTTTTGGCTTTGAGAAAAGTTGACATGGTGATTTGGCGATCAAAACAGAGTGACACTGAAGGTTTTAGCTTTTCCAACAAACACTTTTTTCCAAGAGAAGATGTGGTGATTAGTCTAAATGATGAGTAAACTATAGAAAAAGAAGGAGTAATTAGAAAATGTTACGAGATAATTGATGAAACTGCACAGTCAACAAATTTTGTTGCTAAAAGGTATGATACCGATTAGAATAAAATCGATCTACAGATAAGCCGAAATATGAGAAAAAGAATAATAAAATCGATTCTCTGAGCGGGTCTATTGAAAAATGAGAATGGAAACCAAGTAAGATGAGCAAATGGAGTAATAAACCATAAAGCTAATCAAATGGATAATATCCTTTTCATTTGAAATGTCTTCGAATTCTCTTATTCTCAAGACGTCAGCTAAATGAGATCAGATAAATCTGCTTTTCAACGTCAATTAATCTCAATTTAATCACATTCTACTAATGTAAATTGTTACTAATTGAAACAGAACAGGAATAACATTAGTGAGAATATGAATTAAAATAAAAAAATACAAGCGCTTACCTTGGGTAATTGAGCGACCAGTAACAACTACAGCTAATGAACGAGTTAATAAACCGTTAATCATGTAAATCAATCCGAAAATATTGATTGTAATTAAAGTTTTCAATCAATTAAAGAAATCAACAATCAATTTAAAAGGTGAAAGTTAAAATTTTCAACTTAAAAAAAGTAAAACAATGAATAATCTATTCGTTCATAGATGTCACTAGGTCGCAAGTTTTTCTTCAAATAGAAAATATTTCTGTTTCTTTTTCTCTTTCTTTCTATTCACTCGAATAGTTTCTAAAACGAACACTAGATGGCGTAGCTGAAATTCGCACGAATTTTAGAAAATTGAAAATTTTTAATTGTGACAATTAAAACAAAGAAAACTTTTGTTAATTGTTTCTTTCACAATTGTACAAAAATTCAACCTTCTTACTAAATACATAATATTACATAATATTCAAGTGTTGCACTTTATCACCATTGGAGAATTGATGAAAAGGTAAATCGTTTTTATTGTTCAATCGCTTCAGAATTGTGATTAGTTGATTGTTTAAAGTTTTCGATCACTGATTCATTTAGTTTGGAAATTTTTTCTTCTTCTTCTCTTTATTGAATTTATTTGAAAGGTCATTTTAAATACAAGCAACTCACCAAACAATCAAAGTTGATTGAGAAACATATTCACATGAACCATGAACCATGATTCTGGGTCAAAGGCAGGTCATCATCATGAATGAATCAACTGAATTAACTTTATTATTATTATGATTATTAACTCAGTTTGAGATGATTGTAAATGTGTGTCTGATGGTGTTGACTTTAGAGGTTGTTGATTGTGTTACATGTTACCAGTTGATCAATCAGATTATAATATTTACAGTTAATTGGACTCTTTTTTTTAACGAACACTTTAGATCGGCTATTTGACTTTTTTTAACGAACTTTTTTTTTCTTTTCTTCTTTTGGATAGGTCAACTGAATTAAAGAATATAGATTATATTTATAATCAACATTTAGCGATAATCATGATAATCAGTGATAGAAAGTGAAATCAAATTGAAATGCGAAAAAAAAGAGACGAAAAACTGACCTGGAGATCTGATCGACGAGAGAAACAACAATCAAGTAATGATCAAGTCCACTGATTAGTCGAGTTTGATAATTGATTTGGAGAGAGAGAGAGATTTTAATTGTTACAATTGTTTGGTCATTCTAATTTATCCTTAATCTGACCAACAATTTACAATACAATAGGTTAACATGCAATCTTCAATGTTAATTAATTGTCTGTCTTTCTCATTCGTGGTTGATTTAATTCACTTTGATTGATGTCATTTGTTTCTGTCATTTAATTGTTTTTAATTATCACTTATTAACTTAAATAATTATGAAAGGTAGCTAATTACAATTTATGGTTAATGTGTCTTTTAGTATTTTAATTGTGTTTGCAGTTGCGATTAAATTAAATCTCAGACTTTGTATGATAAAATTATCAACAATTAACAGGTAATAAGTGTTAAGGTCAATCAATTGACCATAACGGTGATTAGTTAATTGGGATCAAATTGCTGGAGTTTAAAGTTGTCAATTGATTGAAACTTTATTGTGGTCAATTAATTGTTACAATTGAAGAAAGAAAAATTAACTCACATGTAAAAGGAAACGGATGTAGATTATTATGAGATCATCATGAAGAATGAAAATTCAAATGAAAGTAAAAAAGAGAGAGAAATAGACAAAAAAAGAAAGAGATGATGATGATAAGGAAGATAAATCATCTTCAATTGACCTTAAATTGTGAGTTGATTTGATTATAGTTGAATAGACGAGTTAATTTGCTGCTCTTGATTGACTTTCACTTTCTATTATAACAATTTAACCTTCCAACCAATCAAACCTTTTCAATTTTAATCATAATCAACTAATCACAGTTTTTGTTTCAACATTAACTTTTAAATTGTCCAAGAGTAACAACCTTTTAACAATTAGATTCAATTGTCTGATTACAATTTAACATGTCAAAAGATGGATAATCAAATCAATTCATTAAAGGTTTATAATGATAATCATCATGTTGATTAACAAAAAAAACTATCAAATAGATGAATAAAAAAGTTGTGTAAATAAATTGGTAACAATTTAAACACTGGCCGCAATTAAGGATCTCGTTAATTAGTAATCAACTGAATCAATGAAGAAACAAATCAAAGTTAATCAACTATTATATTTACTCATCTTTACCTTTTTTTTTGCATCTTAATTGTTGATTATTCGTACAACAATCAAACCTAATGGAAGTTCAATTTGAATGGTAATCTTTTGTTTATCTTAATTTGATTGTCTTTCATTGGTGAGATCACAATTGATCATTTGCTTTTCAATCAAATTAAATTGTTTTTTGTTTCTCAACAACAATTTAACTTGCAAACAGAAATTAAATAATCGATTGATTGTCTAACCGTTTCTGTCCAATTACAATCTAACTTTTTTTTTTGCTTCTTCTCATCTCTTGTAATTCATGTTTTCAATTGTTCCTGAGAAATTATCATGAAATAATCCTCATGATCATGGTGATCATTGAAATCTACAAGGTTACGATTGGCCTTAAGAATTAAATTGTCGAGAAAAAAAAACGATTTCATTTTCATCCTCGATTGAACAAATTCTGGTTTCATAGACCTTGGATCTTGATCTTACTGAATTAACTTAATCACAAACCTAAATCTGGTTCTGATGATGATTAACTAATCATTTTGTTTACAATGTTGAGTAAAACGAGTATGTAATATATAAGTTGAGTAATTAAGGGGTTTAAATGTTGATTAAATCATTTTAAAGGTAAAATCTGATTTCACTTAATCATTTATTTCAATCAAAATGCTAAGTGATTAAGTGTCTTGAACAATTAACTTTGAAAGTCGTTCAATGCACCAAGGATTGATTAATATTAATCATTTAACAACGATTTATGATTAACATTTCCTTATCCTTATATAATTATGATTAAAATTATGTTCAATTTAATTATTTATTTATTATTATTATTTTTTTACTTTTCTCTTAATCAATTTAACTACAATTAAGAATTAGTTACTTTTTTAACCTTCCAACAATCAATTTTTTTTTATCAAGATCATGTTAATCATTGTAGACGAAGGATATTCAACATTAATTAGTATTGTAAATCCATGTGATTAATTGTTAACAATTTACAATAATTATCGTCGTCGTCAAATTGTAAATTATTGAGCTTTAAATCATCATTATGTCAATTGATGATTTAATCAGTTAACAATCAATATTCAATCAAGTAGAATGATTTAACAATTAATTGTAGATTGATGAGTTAATTGTTTAATGTTAATTGTGATAATCAAAGAAATGGTTTAGGAAAATACTTTACAACTGAAATTCAATGAAAATCTGCTAATTGTTGTTTGAGAAAAACACAATCAGTATGACTCATTAATTGTTACTATCCTCAGGTAAGTTAACAATTAATCGTGATAACAATACAAATCATTGTAAATAATATGAACATAATGATCATTGACTGTGAGTTAACAATTAAGTTAATTAACTTTCACTTAGAAATATAAACTTGAATGTTTTTCCTTTGAACAAATCGTTTACAATCAACTTAATTGTTGTTAACTCGTTTCCCTAATCACAATCATAAACCTGTTGATCATTTGGCTTGTTATTTTTTTTATATTATAAATACACTTGGATTAATCTATTACCATGTTAATTGTGATCAAAATTCCGTTTACAATTAACTTGATTGCCATTCCAATTCAAGGTTAATCTTGTAAAAACTTTGATGAAACTTCACCAACAAATTTCAACAATTAAATCCAAGGTTAGTTAAGGTCAATTGACTTTGAAAAAATAAAATTAAACGAGATTTTTATTTTCATGTTTCACTGATTTAGTTAACTAATCAACTAATTGTTTGCTTTAAATAGTAGTCAACATAATCAGTGGTTAGTTTTTGAATGATATTTACCTTGAGAAATTTAAATCTTCAAATTATCAAGAGCAATTTAACTTTTAGACTTTAATTGTTGACTTGATTGTTCAATGTTATCACAAGTAAATCAAATTAAGTTGTTCAATTTCACAACAATTAACAAACCAATTGAAAAAAAAGGTTTGGCTTTCTAATCCTTTTCCAGTAATCATCATGAAATCAAATTAACTAACAATTAAGAAAGTAGGTGTTTGGCTAATTACAGATAAATTTAATAGACAGCTCACAATTAACTAATTGTCTGGTTATAATCTGTATATTAGTAATTAGCATTATATTACTCATGTTAACATTTTTGTTGTAGGTTTTTAATTGTTACAATCATCATGAATTATTTAAATTACTATCTATGGGTTTATCCATTTGTATTCATTTAATTGTGTAGGTTTCTTAGCTTGATTGTTACAATCAAATTAATTGTAAATCTGATAGATGGTTAATCATTTCTAATTATGATAATGAAATTGTGTTTCTTTGTTAATTGTTGATTTGTGATAATTGTTAAAATCTAAAAACGAGTTGACCTGATCAATTATAATTAGATTCAATGTGACCTTTGATTTAAATTGTGTCCACAACAATCAAGTAAATTAAATCTTACAACCAAATTAAGAGGAAGATATTGAAGAGTAATGAAAAATGTTAAAGTCAAACGATTAACAATTAATTTTAATTGTTGTCTAAAAGATTAGAGGTGAATTAAGGTTAACAAGGAAATAATAAAATCAATGTAAAAGTTTAAACAATTAGTTAAATAAACTTTTTTATTTCGTGATTTGAACATAATCAACATGATTAAACATCTCATCAAATCAGTTTACCAATTTGAGACAATCAATAAAATAATGAACGACAATTAAATGACAATTAAAGAGAAATAAATAAATTGTTACTTTACTGATCATCTTTGACCTTAATTTAAACAAAATTATAACATAATTAAATTGATTGTTACTCTATATTTGTTTGTTTTTTTCTGACAAATTTCAATCGAACGACAATTTATTTATCAGATTAAGGAAATTAAATTTAATCATAACAATTTAATTTAATTAAATTCTAACCTTGAATATTTAACATCTTCTTCTGGTTTAGTTTTATGCCTTGAGGGCATTTCAATGATCCAAATGAACGACAGTTTCTTAATCATCAAGGTTAATTTTA